AGTCAATCCGCATTGAATACGGTGCTCCACAGTGAAGATAAGTGAATGTCAGGGGTAAGGAACGCCAATTGTGCAGCTTTAACCCACTTCCACAATATGGAAGCGGTAGACGAGGAACTCCTGTACATCCTGCTGTTATTTGCTCGCAAACTCCGTGTTCGTACGACCCGTTACGTGACGGGACATGCGTGGACGGATGTCTGTAGTCAATGAGAATCAGGATAGGTGGAATCTTGGATAGACGAATTTGGAACGGATGGAGAGCAGATGAGCAAATGTATGATAGACTGTTTGAAGGTGATTAGATCTAGAATGAATGGATAGCTTAATAATCCCACGAGAGATTGGTAAACAAAACAAGTTGCTCCATTTCAAAAGGTTGTGGGATCATAGCTGCACAAAGTCCAGAGTGGTGAAAAATTACCTCACCGAGTTACCTGCAATAGAAGAAGGAATTGGGGAAGAGTGAATGGATGGACAGGATGGGGACATGGGTGAGTGAATGAAGTAAAAAATGAATCATTCCCAGTAATTTTCACTAACAAAACGTCGCAGAACCCTACAGAAACCGAGCTCATAATATGCGAACAACAAACGATAGGAGAGGGAATTAATTGGGGAGAGTTATGAATTGATGTGCAAACGAACTGTAAGGAGCACTAATGATAGATGGATGTTTTGGTCACCTCTACGGCCGAGTTTATGCAGCAGGTGTTGACGAGATTGACTAAACCTGTGACACCTGGCCCATGAAGAGGTGTGAGGGTGTGATCAGCTTTCCTGCAGAGTGAGGCACTTGCCCACTCGCATGTTCGCTTCTACTTCCATCTCCATCACGGAGCGATCGTTCTTGCGCTGGCGCTACATGTCAATTCCAAAGTAAGCAAGGTGCTGCGCCAACAGTGGGTCAGTCACCATGTTGTCCTCCGCGTAAGAGAAGACTTCTGCACTCTACAATGCAGAAAAGTCAATGAAGTACGTCCAGGACCTGTCTACCCATCCATCGCCATTACTACACAACCGCTTCTCCAACTAACTAGACATCCACCTCCATCCGCCAAGATCTCTCACGATCCACTCACCCACGTACAGGTGCATTTCTGAGCTGTTCATCTATTCGTCCACTCATTACTCTAAACATTTATCCAACCAATATACCAATTACCCATCACCTCGATATCTATTCATCAGTCTGTCTTTCCTGCCAACCCATCACTCATTCTAGGTCCACACATCTGCCCGTCCAAGATACCTGCATTAACCCCAGAGTTTATTAGTCCCTCCATTCATCTCGCAACTGTAAAACCACCTCCGGATCATATACACGTCTACATACGCACATTCCGTTTC